AAGCCCGAGCAACTACAGTTATAGGATATAAATTCACAGCAACATTTTCTGAAAAGAAAGTACATTGTTCACAAGTCTCAAACGGAAATAAAAACCGACTTGACCATGAATCATTCTACCAGAGTAATATAGAACGACTTTTACATCTCAATCCCGAAGATTGTAAAAACGAGTTAATCCGACTAAACATCACAAAAAATAAAAACACAGATAGAAATTTAGTATATTTCCAAGTTTTTTCAGATTCTGTACATCAAGCAGAACTTGAAAGATATCAAGGACATATAAAATTAGATGAAAAATACCCATACAACGGCGCACACGGACGATTAACCTATGACATACACGATAAACACTGGATACCACACATTGGTATAAATGACCCATCAAACTGCAAAGCAGACACAAAAAATAAAGGATACCAAGAAATAATGTTTTTCGATTGGAAAATACAACTCGAAAAAATACAACTCACACGAGATTTATCAGACAACACAATGATTTATCAAGGAATTAGATTACCTTGTAAAAACGACCAAGGTTATTGCGATCCTACAACCAGAACACAAGCAACAATTGTTTGGTTCCCCGAAGACACATGTACAACATTTCAAGTAGCAAAAATACACGCTCGTATGATAAAATTTCACGAAAAATATTTTATACAATCAATACCATATGAACAAGTAATCCATTACGAAAAATAAGTTCTAATTTTCGAAACATTCATAATATAGAAAATAAATTAACACGTTTTCAAATATATCAAGAAACAGAACTTGCATGTAAATACAGAAACCCACTTCACAAAAGACAATACTCTGAAATATTAGTTGAATACGAAAATGGATTCGACATGACCACTGGAAAAATAAAAGTCGACCCATACGCCACAAGTCATCCCCTAAACGAATGAACATCATATATACCAGTTAATTTTCAAAAGAATACAGGTCAACCTGGTGGACATTTAAAACCCCAAAACGATCAAAGCACACGTTTACAAGAACTATCACTAATGAATAGTACATATTTTGGTAATATCCACTATGATATTCACTTAGATATGAAACTAGACTACATGATTAGCCGAATTTTTCAAGAAATGTCACTCTCCGAATTAGAAACATTACACCAACTATGCGAATTAGAAAGAACACAAATATTACAATCACTTGCACTAGCAGTATTAAAAATACCCTACGCAGGATATTTACTATCAGGAAATAGATCAAATTTTTTAGACTATGAAGGAAACATCTTATGGTTTTATACTTGTACTAAAAAAGTATCACCACTATACGTTTTTGAAGATAAACGATGTTATAAAAGAATCCCTATCTTTTATAAGAATAAAGTACATTTCGTTGACACACTTTCACGAAGAACCTATTTCTGGGATACCGCAGTTCCATGTGGATCAGAAAATAGCCACAACGTAGTACAACTAAACCCTGATGAAGATAAATATTACCTTCTCACCCCATATCCCACATTAATGCAATCACTCAAAAAATTTTCACCAGAAAGCATTCGCGCTATCGCTCGAAACCCAAATATAGACTTACAATCAATAGGAATATACTCAAAATCAGATATTCAACATCACATTAGAACACAACAATTCCAGGAATTATTAACACAAATGGACACAATACAAAGACAATCAATTGACCAAAACTTACGCAAACTTGCCGAAACCGCAGGATTTGCAGACATCTATACGCAAGACTATAGCGGATATTTTAAAGACATTAAAGATTATATATATCTAAACGGTGAAAAATACCGTCCCCAAGATATATCACCTATCAATATTTTTAGCTTTGTTACACTCAAGAATGAAATTCTTGATTTTCTAGGATGGCCCTACTACATCTTAGAAAAACTAACTATTTTATACGCAATGTTTAACTTTATTGGATTTCTTTTTTCACTCTTAAAAGGAATCTATAACACATGTGCTATACACACACAAGTCAATAGACAAGCAAGTGTAGCACGCATACTATTTGCAGGATTTTTTGGAATATTTTCTACATCTATAAACAAAATTCTTTTAGACGCACAAATAAAAGAATATAACACAAAAATAGCAACAAGACAGAACACATACGACGAAGAACATAACAATGCAGACACAAAACCAACAGCACCACAGTTACCACCCCTACAACATAACCATCCATTATCCCTAGTCCCACGTAATTTTCGAAATTTAGCCATAACACATAATAATTTTAGACCAACCATATCACAAAGTCCCATCCAACATATAATGCCACACCACTCACAAGATGAAAATACTTATGAACAAATTATAGAACAACCCCATACCACCGCTTTTCAGTCTCAAAATAATAATTTTTTTAGCCCACGATGAGCCGACAACTTGGATCCCTACACCGATCAAATTCCCACCCAACCAACCTCACCACTCCAATCCCAATAATACCACTTTTTGCTTTTCCGCCACCCGATTTCCCATCCAGTAATGTAACATCCGGCATGAATTCCGATACTAACTCACACATCTCAGTTTTATACTCCATCTCACAACTCAATAACCCGAATATTGAAACCCCCGATGAATTTGCCGACTCTGAACCATTTCCATCAAATAATTTTCACACCAATCCCTTAAATTTTTCCCAACCCCCTTTTCAACCCATACTACCAAATAACCCTGACCCAACCAATTCTACACCCTCTTATGCTTCCCAAGTCACTCCAACCTACTCCTCACTTCACTCAAACCAATCATCTCATTCTTCAGACACCCCCCGAATCTCCCCAGAACTAGATAATTTCATTACCCTACAACAACAATCCTATCACCTTGACACCCCAACCATAAACCAAATCTCATCCACAATAGATTCATCCAACCCTCCTACCCCTACACCCTCTTCAAATTATACTGATTCATTAGCACCATCATCCACAACTACTGTATCTTCACTCAGCACTAATAGAGCTTACCGCACTTTTAAAAGGAAGTTCCCCGACCATCCTTTCCCAGCGAAACCAGGAACAGCCCGTGAATATATCAACCATCCACAACACACTAACACAAAAGAATTTTTAGCTATCACCTTACCCTCATTTCCACAATACACCTTAAACACCCCTCATGACACTAACGAGACACGTAACTTTGTAGACGAATACGTTTTAATGCCTACCCTTCCTTGGACCTCATATTATCATTTTACAAATCCCCTTTGCTTACCTTTATCTAACACTCATATCGATATAGAACGAAATAAGGACATGCTATATCGACTCACTACACCACTAACACCTAGACAATTTACTTACATTGGATACAAAAAATCACTAAAAACACACACTGCACCCCGAGCTAATGAATATACACTAGAATATTACGATCATAACATCATCAGAACTAACCAAGATCAATTCTTAGACGACGATCGCTTCGCTAACCCACAAATCACCGAGAAAATTTTCATTAAAACACCATATGTATTTACACTAAATATCTTCGATCGCAAGTTTGACCACATTATCTCAGAAGCACTAACAGACACGCAAGCCTACGAAAGTTTTAAAGAACGCTTCCAAATATTTTCACTAACCTTTCGTTTCTTTGCACCACATGAAAGAGATTTGCACTGCTCACACGATATTATGTTGCGCACTAAACAAACACACACATATACTTATTATCGTTTCATCCAAAATCACTTTGACTTACACACTCCCTCCAGACAACCACACCATCGTTTTCAATTCATCAATTCCAAATACACCTCACCATTCTTTCTTAACTTCACATATTGCATTAAAGATACTAACCTTCATGGTATTCTTCGAAATTATGATCCCATAACCCAAATGTATATCTTTTGTCCCATCACCAAGACCTTCAACGCAGAAGAATCCCGACCCTTCCTCATCCCACACGAGTTTGTACAACCTATAGAAATCCCCATTTTAGAATTCATCCATAACACTAAATTCAACCACAAATTATATAATCTAATCCAAAACACACCTTATGAATTTGCAGTTGGCACTGAAGAACTAACCACCATTAAGGCACTTCAATTGCTTTGGCCACTGCTTCAAACTAAAAATATCATCCGCATATTAGCCAAACTACTAACAACTTCAGATCTCATCCACGACATTTTCCCTCACGGTTTCTTCCCCGACGACTAACAGGTAAGTATGAATTATACATATTACTAATTAATTCAAACATTAGAAACTCACCATTCTTTATCCATGTTTTCTTTAGAATTTTAGCCTTCATCCTAGATCATCTGAAAAAATTCACAAAAGAAAAATAAAAAATAGCAAACTTCTTCAAAACTGTTTATTACACTGTTTAATTGCACCAACAATTAAATAAATATAATACCAATGCAGTAAATTAATTTATAAATTTTTCCCCCACCAGCACTAAATCTAATAATGATGAAAATTTGTAACTTAATTTCCCCCAACAACTAGCAGTAAAATTAAAATTCTATGTAGTAAATTCATAAGAAGCAAAAGCAGTACTAACCTTTTGATATTTTCATTCACTCGCATAAAAATTCTATCCAAACTCGCACAGCTCGCCCACGAAGAATTGTTTAAAGTAATGAATTTCAGTTCCAAGCTTTCACACTCGATAACTCTAACACAAGATAACACGTTTCAAACTTTCCTTTAACCCGGTTGGAAAGGAATTATATACTAAACAAAACTAACCAATGCAGCTTACTAAACACCACAACACATAGCATAACAGCATGACTAAGAAAAGGAAACCAACGGTACCCAAACCGGATTAACCCAGTTTAAAACTGGATAATTTATTCTTTTGAAGACTATTATAAAGTCTAAAGAAGAAATAATAAAACACAAAAAAGTCGAAAGACAAACCCATACCACAAACAATTTGATTTTTGAAAAAAGGACACAACCAACAAAACATAAGAAAAACCACAACAAACCCAACATAACCACAACAAACCCAACGTAGTTTAGATCAGGTTCCATTGTGGCACAAATTTTTCGGGAGAGAATTCTGTTTTGATATGAGTGGCCTTTTTTCGGTTTCTGAGTGAGTGGACGAAGATGATGTTGGCTGACACGAGTACGGTGAAGGGCACTCCGAAGAAGACGAAGTAGTGGCCCACGAAGGCATACACGGTATGGACTAAATACATGCTCTTTCGGTTCAGACCACACTGGCCATTCTCATCCATGTCCGAAAAGTAGGCTACCCCTGAAAATTATCATCTCTCATGGGTTAAAGTAAAATCAAAAACAAAGTTTGGCTAGTAGATTCATACCAGTCTAAGCAAATATATCCATCTAGTAAAAAGCTGTCAAATTTTCCGTTTCAAACAGTTTTTTTAGTTATTCTAAGGAAGCGAACCTGGTATAAAAAAGGATTCAGTATCAGATAGTTTGATGATAGACTTCGTTTTTATGCCTTATTTGATACAACTCCTTTTTTAAAAAAAATTACGCTGGAAAAAGAGAAACCATAAATAATTGAATGCTCTGTTTTTTTCTCAGGTTCGCTTCTTTAGAAAACCTTAGAAAATTTGAATTGTTTACAATGTTTGAGTCTTTGTTATTGTTTTTGTTTTAGGTTGCTAAGCGGTAGCTATCCACATCAATTAACGCGAATCATGATGGGTCTCGACTTTACGACTGAAAGTAGTTTAGGCACTACAAATTTCACTTCGCTAATCTGATCTTACCTGAACTCAGTGCGTAGGACACGATGACCACAGTTGCCGCAATGACAGCTGCCACTCGACTGGAGGAGTAGCTCCTGTGGAGGAATGGGAATTTAATGGCCACTACCCGGTCCACGCTCATGGCAACAACGAAGTAGCCAGTGGCCAGACTGCTGGCTATGGTGTGGAACCGGAACAGAATGCACACCACGAGCTGAAATTCACAAACGAACAAAACATACGTGCAGTGGCAAACCGGGTGTAAGATTTAAATAACAACAAGACTGCTCTGCTCGTACATCAGGGCAAAGCCCTGAATGTTCCGACTGCCCCTTATTTCATATCGTATAGATTTTTGGGACAAAAAATATTTAAAAAAACTAGATTTTTTTGGACAAAATTAAAGATCAAGTGTGAAAACCTGGGTCGTACCAAATTAATACACCAATTAGCTAGCCTCAATTCATTTTGAAATGATTTTGTTTGGCGGGATAAATCGCCACGCATAAATAATTCTTGTAACGCTTTAAGGATTTTGGATAAAATCTTCAAAGCGCGCATAATTTAGTCCAGATCTTGGCCAAATTAGCAAACTTTAAACTCCCAACACTTTGCAAAAATGATCGGATGCAAAATATCTTTTAAAAATTGATTTCAGTGAGTCACTATCAAAATTGTTTGTTGAAAACTAAAATTTAGATCACTGGAAATTGACTGAATAAAAAAACCACACAAAGCATAAATATTCCGTTTTCTTCGAACGTCGAAACCAAAAAAAAATTTAGGCAAAAATGTGAACTGATTTTAAATCGTTCCAAAAAATGAAATATTTTATAATAATGTCAAGAAAACTAATGTAAACTGATTCTAAATGGATCTAAAACCATCTTTTTGTCTTTCACAGCTTTATTTTGATGCTTAATTTTGTTCAATTTAAATCGGTTTTAAGCTGTTTTTCTCTCCTTTTTGTTCCAACCATTGAAAACGGGGAGGCACTTTTTATTCGGGTCCGTTTTTTTTCTTGTTTTTTTTCCATGCAAAATCAGATGCCACAAATAACATCATGTTATATCGGGTTCCGTGTGATATCATACTAAGGCCCTTTCAGTCGTGATTCGGACAATATTAAGAAATTTCCAAGCAAAATTCCAAGTGTCAAGAAAAACCTGTTTGAAAATTTTGATCATTCAACTTCGACCAAATAAAAGTGATGATAACTTGTTAAATTGGTTAATCATTTTTTTTTTGCTAAAAAGTTTTACTTTTCCACAAAGAAATTAGTTTTGAAATCTATATTTTGAAATCTATGTTTTGAAATCTATATATAAGTTTGTAAAAAATATTGTGCAAAAATAGAAAAAAAAATGATTATGCATTATTCAATAATTTTTCATTTATGTGTATAGTTTCATCATCACATCACGTACAACAAACGAGACTAATTTGAAGATAATAAAAATTTGAAGAACTTTTATGTGTTGTTTTTACAAGTATGTTCGGAACACTCTGTGCTACTTGCACAGTAACCAGTTATCCTTGTTACTAGTCATTTTATAAAGTTTGTCTATTAAAATGGTTAAACCCGAAACAACATTATGAAATCTGGTTGTAAGATAATTTTGTGCTGATAATTGACTGGAAAAGAAATTCCCCGAGTAACTAAAAACAATTTTCTTGAAACTGGACAGTTTGTCCGTAATTGAGTTTTGTCAACTTTTTATTGAACTGCTAAAGAAAATAGTGCTAAAAATGTTGACCTCAAAATCGGTATCAGAAAATTTTTCTGGTGTTTAATTTATCATCAAAAACCACCCCGAACAGATCATTCTCTTTTAGATAGCAAAACCCTAAAGAATCCCCTGAATCTAACGGTATAACGTGGATAAGTTTACTTGAGAAACAATTTCTTTGGTGAGAATTGGATAGAGTTTAACAGCTACCAAAAACAACCCCAATTGATTTCAATAAAATTATAAGCACTAAAATTGATTCTAAACTTTCCAGATAGATTGGTTCAAGTCAATTGAAAACTCATTTAATTTCCTAAAGAAAATGTTTGAATTGGTCTGGTTTGTCGACTTAAATTTAGTTTTAATCAATTCAAAAGCTTTTTTGTGATTACAGGTAAAGCGCATTTTTTTATTGGCTATTAGATTATAAAATGTTTTATATTTTGATAAATAAATTTCATAATTTCAAGTACTGGGGAACAAAGATGCTGAAGACGATACATTTTAAACAGAAACTAGTAATAAATAACTAAGCACTGTGTATATACAGCAAAAACTCTGAGAGGACAACCAACTTGGGTTACACACGGCTGTTTTTTTTTACTGTTTACAAAAGAGACATGATTGAACTGAACTTCCAATTTAATAGTCAATAACAAAGAAATTTATTGCAAAAACAAAAAAAAACTGTAAATATTTTGATAACAAATTTTCAGACTAAGTCCAAATTTTCATATTCTCGCAATTAAAGATCTTATGCCTACTAGTGTTTTTGTTAACCGGCTGTCTGAGCACTCCAATCAAGTGTGCCGCTGATTATGTCTCAAGATAAGAAAATGTGGCAGTAACCAGTGAACAAGTCCAAGATAGGGTTCAGTTTGTAAGATGCAAACTGAACTCAAAATGATCGATATGAAATAAATTATGGGAGCTCAATATTCTCTTCCTAAAGGATTCAAATCAGATCAGAACAAGTTTAAACAAACCTGGAAAGTGAGATATTTTCTGAGTTGAAGAGATCTTTTAAGCAATGTACCACTTCAAAAACTGAGTATCTTTCAAGCTTTGCTTTTCTAACGGGACCAAAATGTTTTCCTGTAAAGAACCGAACAACTGAGATCCTCGGTGTTTTACCAAAAACATTTTCCTATTATTTCTGGCTAAAGCAATTTTCAAAAGACCTTGTTTCGTTGGTCTGGTAATATGATTATAAACTAAGAAGACATTCAAAAGATCACTGGTATGCAGTTTGGCCAAAGATCTTACTTAAAACTTCAAAAGTTCGTGAGCACAAAGCTCATGAACAAATAGATTTCATGTTTGTCTAATAAAGCTCTGATAATTTCTTAATTTTTTATAAAAATTTTTGGTATGAATCATCTTTTTTTGTACAATAAGGCTGGATTTTATATTTTAAAAGCGCTTTTTAGTTTTTATAACTGTTTATGGAGATACCGTATTGAATGATTGAGTCATAGTAGCGCAGTAGCACCATTCGAGGAACATACTGCCTATCTTTCAAAAGCATTCCGCATTGACAAGCAACTGTGCATGAACTCTTTCGATGTGCTTACGGAAAAAATAGTTTGAACCCAGTATGGTTCCTAACCATTTGCAAGATAAATTCTCGGCAGTTTTCCAGATGTATAAAAAATGAAAAACTATAAGCGCTTTTGTTTGTTATCTAAAATTATATTTTTCAAGTTAAGGCTCAACTTTTTGCTTTTAACCACTTTACGCATTTTATGCAAATATTAATGATTTTTTTTTTGAATTCTCTAATGTTCAAGTTGAAGAACTTCTAGAACATTTTCCTATTTTTTAAGGAAAACTCAACAAAATTTTGATCTGGAAATCCTTGATAATGCAAAAGATTCGGTTTTGATGATCTAAGTTTTTAAATATAATTTTATTTAATTTAATTTTGTGCCGTTTTTGTGATTCTTAACGGCTCGTGATTAAGAATATTAAATTCAATTGAGATTATTGCATCTAAAGATTTTGGTGTTGCTAGATAATCACTTCAAAAACTGATCCAAAAACCCTAATTCTGTAACAATTCATTTTGCCCGTTTGTTTCAGCCCGTATGTTTCAGTTAAAGCTTTTATACTAGGTGGTGACTTGAGGCCGCATAAAAGTGCTTCTAGTACTTCGTGGTAATTCTTGATAGATCTGGTTTTTATGTTTATTAGCTTCCAAGTAAGGGCAAAAGACTTTTTAACACTACTATTAGCACTTTTTGGCTTGAAAATACGATTTTATTGTCCATCGAATCAGCTCTCAGCGTCATTGGATGCGCACTCCAGTTTTGTTTTTCTTTCACATAGACTCATTACGTTTGCACCACCTCATTGTTTGTATATTTGAAGTAAGCAAATCCCTCGCGTAAACACATCCTTTTTCAACAATTTGAAAAAAATGACTCTCGTAGCAGTCAAAACTTTTACTATTTTAAGATCTATCATCGTGGAAGTCTGATAAAATTCCTTATTTTTCCTTAAAAACAATCATAGTTCGTGGATGATAACTTTTTGTAGGCAGTCGGCGGGCATTTTATATCAGAGTCCATTTCAGAAGCTCCTATTGCAGTGGCTATTTTGATGACATTCTCAATGCTTTGTTTATTACTTTCACACATTCTTCTCCTGTTTCCATCGACGTTTGGGTATTCGAGAGTTCCAATTAATCTGTCATTGTCTCTGCGGTTATATCCTTTGACTAGCGCTGCATCACTGCAAGCTTTTAGACCACCTTGTCTCCCTTGATAGGCTATGGTAACTTTAGCTTCAACGAGGAATTGCTTCCTTAGCGATTGCTTTTCACGGGCTATAATTTTCTGTACAACTTTTCAAGTTTAAATTTTTGCTATGATTTTTGTCCTTTGTGAGTCTAGAGTTTGTTGAGTGAAGTTAGGAGACTTTTTACAGGCGATGTTTCTTCAATCTTGTCTAATATGGGTCTCAGTTTGGAACAAGATAATTTTGACATTTTGTCTTTCGACGCGATAGGATTTTGTTCCTGGCACCTCAAATCAGGACAATACACGTTTTGTTTGAGCTTATATTGTTGACAGAAGTTTCGTCTTCTTCTACATCATCACTCATGTTGTTTTGTATTTGAGCTTCTATTTCATTAGTTTATCAAAACAATTCAGAAGCGCTTTATAATTCTTCAGGAAATAGTTTTTCTTAGTATGACAAAAATTTCATGGTTTAGAAGACGACTTTCCAGATAGCATGTATTAGTCATTTGCTTTCCTCGCACATAATTAGACTTGAAGGCGGCTCTTTTTCCTCCCCCCACCTACAATTTTTCATAATTCAAATTACTGTTCACATTGTCCAATTGTCATGACAATTGAAATGCAGACTAATTAGACCATGGCAAACATTTTTAATTTTCATAATCAACCTTGTAAAAACACCCCTTAGACCATAAAACTGATGCTTGTGTGAGGTGGGGGGAAAGGAAAAACAGCCTTGA